GTGAACACTGAGCTCTGTAGATGCTCAGGTCTCTAATATAACATGGTGTAGTGTTTGCATATAACCTATGCAAATGTAACCTGTGTAACATCCTCCCATATGCTTGAAATCATCTCTAGATTATGTATAATACCTAATACGGTGTAAATGCTGTACAAATAGCTGTTATACTGTATTGTTTTAAAATTTGTATTATTTTTTATTGATGTGGTTTTTTTTACTTTTTTTCCAAATATTTTCCATCTGCAGTTGGTTGAATCTGTGGATGCGGAACCTGCAGGTACCAGCGGCCAAATGTACAGTGTGCTAATATAAAAATTGGTAAAGGAGGGTTAGGCTGTCCTGAAGCTCACAGTCCAGTGTGGGAGACAGAACATTTAACAGAAAGTCCCTATGGAGCTTAAGTGTTGGGCTGGGGCGTTCTGGGGGTGTTCAGGGCACCTTGGAAGTACCTTGGTGTGCTTGCCATCTCTCCCTCAGACTGCAGCCCCCTTGGGCCAGATACTGTCTCTTCAGCTTGGTACCAAGTACTCAGCAAGTGCCAAGCCAAGCGCAGGGCAGGCAGCCAATTATTTTTTGTTAACTGAATGCGTAAGTCTTAGAATGGAGCCCGACCGTGTCACATGTATGGTAGGAACATGTTGGAGGCAGGGAAATGTTTTCAAGGTTGTGGACACCTTTACAGAGTGAACAGGGCCACGCTCCATATCCTGCTTTCTCCAGGCCTTTAAGGAAGTGTGTCAGACGCCCACAGGCAGAGCTGGAAAACGTGGCCTTTGCTAAAGATACAGAAGAGCCCGGAGACACACAACGGCTGGGTCATTGGTGGTGAGGGACTTTATTTGCAGTGGATTTGGAGTTAGGAAGGAAGTTGCTGCTGGGCGGGTCCTCCCTGTGTCCTGCTGCGGCCCAGTGATGGAGGTCTGCTTACACATGTTTGCCAGGTTTTCAGGCCAGCAACAGGATTCTGTTATTTCTCTAGTGCTTGTCTGATCATGAAGTAGTGATTTTTGAGAAATCCTTGGACCTGGTGTGAGGATCAAAGACTCCCTTCTTCTGGACAGTGTTGGAAAATCCTGGAAAAATGCTTCCTCTGGGGCCCTGTGTATCTTCCATCTGGGAAAACCGTTAAAAGCAATCAGGTAAAGAAATATTTTTGTGATATGTTGTGACTTTCTTTTTTTTTTTTTTTTTTTTTTTTTTTTTTTTTTGAGACGGAGTCTGGCTCTGTCGCCCAGGCTGGAGTGCAGTGGCCGGATCTCAGCTCACTGCAAGCTCCGCCTCCCGGTTTACCCATTCTCCTGCTCACCTCCCAGTAGCTACTACAACGCCCGCCCCTCGCCCGGCTAGTTTTTGTATTTTTAGTAGAACGGGTTTCACCGTGTTCGCCAGATGTCTCGATCTCCTGACCTAGTGATCCGCCCGTCCGCCTCCCAAGTGCTGGATACAGCTGACCACCGCGCCCGGCCGTGACTTTCTTAAAGTAATAAAGTAGAAGAGATTTTAAATGAAAAATATACATAATTGCAAAATCTCTTGATTCTTAGCTATTTCTGAACAGATTTCATGCCCCCCGTATAACCTTTTGTTGGGGAAAGAGGAGAAAGGAAAGGAAAAACTAAAATTACTTTTGTTTTCATAGTTCTGTTTTTTTTATCCTTTGCTAAACCCATTTTCCATGGTTGGTCATATGATTTGGATTGAAAGGACTTTTCCTCTGGCCTTGGAGCACGGAGGCAGCTAATATGTTTGCGCAGTGGTTCACGCCTATAATCACAGCACTTTGGGAGGCTGAGGCGGGAGGATCACCTGAGGTCGGGAGTTCGTGACCAGCCTGGCCAACACGGTGAAACCCGTCTGTACTAAAAATATAAAAATTAGCCGGTTATGGTGGCGCATGCCTATAGTTCCAGCTACTTGGGAGGCTGAGGCAGGAGAATCACTGGAACTGGGAGGTAGAGGTTGCAGCGAGCCAAGATCACGCCACTGCTCTCCAGACTAGGCAATAGAGCAAGACTCCATCTCAAAAAAAAAAAAAAAAAAAGTACATGAATAAATAAATAACAGCTTCTTGTTTAATCAGTTTTCTCTATCGTTATAAATTCTGTCTCATTGACTTATTCTTTAATCTTTATTATTTCTTCTTTTCTACTGATTTTGTGTTTGATGTATTTATACTGTTTCTAGTTTTTTTTGTTTTGTTTTGTTTTGTTTTGTTTTTGTTTTGAGACGGAGTCTCGCTCTGTCGCCCAGGCTGGAGTGCAGTGGCACGATCTCGGCTCACTGCAAGCTCCGCCTCCTGGGTTCACGCCATTCTCCTGCCTCAGCCTCCTGAGTAGCTGGGACTACAGGCGCCCGCCACCGCGCCCGGCTAATTTTTTGTATTTTTAGTAGAGACGGGGTTTCACCGTGGTCTCGATCTCCTGACCTTGTGATCCGCCCGCCTCGGCCTCCCAAAGTGCTGGGATTACAGGCGTGAGCCACCGCGCCCGGCCTGTTTCTAGTTTTTGAAGGCAGAAACTGAGGTCACTGATTTGAAGCCTTTCTCCTCTCCTAATAGAGGCATTTCATGCTGTAAAATTTCCCCAAAGTACTGATTTAATAACATCCTACAAATTTTGATGTTTTAATTTTCATTTTTTATTAATTTCAAAATACACTTTTGATTTTATAATATTTTTATAAGTATTTTTCAGTTATGAAAATAAATAAGTACTGATAAATGCTACCTGGAACCATCAAGAATGACCCTTGAAAACATTCTGCTCAGTGAAAGAAGGGCAGTCACGAAAGACCACATATTGTAGGATTCAATTTGCATGAAATCTCCACAGTCGGTCAATCCACAGGGCCAGAAAATAAATCTGTGGAGTACAGAGCGTCTCCCAGAAGCCAGGGGTTGTGAGGAGGAGGAAATGGAGAATAATTGCTAATGGGTATCACAGTTCCTCTTAGGGGGATGAAAACCTTCTGGAGTTAGACAGTGGTGAGAGCTGGACAGCTTTGTCAACATACCAAGAACTATTGAATTGTATGCTTTAAAGGGACGAATATTATGGTCCGTGAATTGTCTTTTAATAAAGGTCTTATTTTAAAAAACAAGCTAGGCACCTAGGGTATAAAATTGAAGGAGGCTCTGATTCTCAGGGCCACGCAAATGCAGGGCTGGCACCTATGAGTGTGGCCCTCCTGAAATGTTGTGCCTTAGGCACCTGGCTGTCCCTAATTCAGGCCCTCAGGAGAAAGCCCTAATTCTGGTCAGTTCGCAACAGGAGGACACGGCTTCTGGGAGACACTCGGTGCTCCAGAGAGAGGCATTTGGTCCGTTCTCTTCCTCTGGACGTCACCGTGCCGACATGAAATGCTTCCAATTGCGTCCAGCCTAGGATGGAGCGGGGTGGGGGGATATCTGGTGACATTACGAACTGCTGCATCAACTCCCCCGAGTCCCTGCCTCTGGACCCCCGAGAGAGGACACAAGGAGTGTCCGGAGCCCATGTGACTCAGTGTCTCTTCCCATCACTTCGCGGGAAAATGGGGCTGCTTACACCGCACCGCAGCCCAAGCACCTGTGGCTGGAGAGGGGCTCGGGCGCCAGGAGTGAGGAGCCTGGTTCTGGGCCCGGGACTGGTACTAGTTAGTGGTGGGACCTGGAACAAACGCTTTGGTTCTAAGTGAATCCCTCATATTCATGACAAGAGGCGTGGAACACAGACCCATGGGGCCTTCCCACTGGAACATGGAGCTTGGCTGTCACCCGACTTCGCTTCCTGAGGTAGAAAAGCCCAGGGTTCCAGGCTCTGTCTCCTTTCCCGCAGACCCCCTGTTTCTTGGCGCGGAGGCCCTGGGCCCCGCAGGCTCCCACCCACTTCTCTGGGCTCAGAACTTCTCTGGGTTCAGAACCCGATCCCGAAGCGGCCCTGGAGCTGCCGGTGGCCGAGGCCGGGCGCGCGCCTTGGGAACCTGGCTGGCCTCAGGCTGGCGGGAGCATTCGCGGACCTCGCCCTGGGCCGGGAGGACTGGGGGACCCTGGCCTGCCCCTTCCCCTAGCCCTGACCTCGGCCACCACGCGCGCCGCCCCCGCTGGTCCCGCCAGGCTCCGCCTGAAGGCAGAAAGCGTGGGAGGCGCCCGATCCTGCGGTATAAAAGCGGTGCCCGCAGAGGCCCTAGTGGGAGTCCGCGGCGAGCGCAGCAGCAGGGCCGGGTCCTGCGCCTCCGGGATCGGCGTCCAGGCTCGGAGGGCGGCACGGAAACGGCGGCGGCGCTGGACCAGGTGGTAGGTGCGGGCGTCCCCGCGCGGGGCCGGGGCGGAGCACGGGAGTGGCGAGCTTCAAGACCCGGCTGCCACGGAGAGGTGGGACCGGAGGGCAGGAGCGGTCGCTCAGCCAAGAGCCCCGGAGAGGCGGTGCCTTCTCGGTGGGGTCAGCAACGGTCTCCGGGGGTGCCCTGGAGCGCGCAGCCGGCCTCCGCCTTGGCGGCCCACAGCCAGCGCGGGCCATTCCCTCTCCGAGGTCTCCTCGCTGCCCTTGCCGGGCGGAAGCCCTGCTTTGCAGCCTCCTCCCCACCTGCCGGCCCTGTTTTCTCACTGCTCCTCTCTGCTCTGGGAGCCGCAGGATGACGTCTGTCCTGCTTCTTCTCTGTCCTTTAAAGTCACCAGTCTCGGCCGGGCGCGGTGGCTCACGCCGGTAATCCCAGCACTTTGGGAAGCCGAGGCGGGCGGATCCTTTAAGATCAGGAGTTCGAGACCAGCCTGACAAACGTGGTGAAAACCGGTCTCTACTGAAAATGCAAAAATTTGCCGGGCATGTTGGCGAACGCCTGTAATAATGTCAGCTACGTACTGAGGCAGGAAAATCACTTGAACTCGGGAGGCGGAGGTTGCAGTGCGCTGGGATTGCGCCACTGCACTCCAACCGGGCCGACAGAGCGAGACTTCCTCTCAAAACTAAACAAAAAAAAATCCCCCAAAAACACAAAAAACCCCACCACCACCACCAACAAAAAAATAAAGCCACCAGTCTCGAGTTCCAAATCCGAGCGCTCTTATCCATCCTAATTCTTTCAATAATTCAGCGAAACGGATGGGGCCCGTCCTTCTTCGGAGCATTCCTCCAGGGACTGTGAATCCGCGGAGCCAGGCTCAGCCGTCGCCTGCAGGGCCTGCGGTCTGTGGGGACCGCCAGCAAGATGAGGAGTCACCTTCGGGACGAACGGTCGTGCTAGGGAGGGTTGCGCCGGCGGGGTCAAGGGAACCTCCTTTAGGGTGGGAATCAAGCCTCCAGGCCGCGGTGTTTGAGGGTGAGTAGAATTAATCCCGTGATGGACATGGGGCCTTGTAAGGGGGACCAGGAGTTTGTGAAGAGGTGACTTTGGGAGGGGTTCAGGATGGCCAGAGGTGGAGGCTGTGACCTGAGCGAGGCTGGATCAAGGGAGGGGGCAGGTGGAGAGGAAACCGTTCTTTTTTCTTTTTTTTTTTTGAGATGGAGTCTCGCTCTGTCGCCCAGGCTGGGGTGCAGTGGCCGGATCTCAGCTCACTGCAAGCTCCGCCTCCCGGGTTCCCGCCATTCTCCTGCCTCAGCCTCCCGAGTAGCTGGGACCACAGGCCCCGCCACCACGCCCGGCTAGTTTTTTGTATTTTTAGTAGAGACGGGGTTTCACCGTGTTCGCCAGGATGGTCTCGATCTCCTGACCTCGTGATCCGCCCGTCTCAGCCTCCCAAAGTGCTGGGATTACAGGCTTGAGCCACCGCGCCCGGCCGAAGAAACGTTTTAACAAGGTGGCTTTGAGCGGATCCTGAGGGTCCCGGGAGATTTAGGACGAAGGACAAGAGGATTAAGACACCGCTTTCTGAGGATGTTGTGTGGCTGTGGCCCGGTGGTGGCTGGGGGAAGTGGGTTGTGTTCATTGTCCAAGGCTCTCCAGTGCTTTGTGTGGCATTTTGGGGAGCACAGATGAGGTGTTCTGACAATGGGGAGCGGCTCTAGGAGACCAGAGGCTCGGGAGGGGGCCTGGGCACTAGGCCAGGCACAGGATCCAAAGTGGAAAGAAATGTGGACACAGAGTGCAAGCCTTGGGGATGGGTGTGGGGGACGAGGGGGATGGAAAGGGGTCAGGGAGGTCTCCCAGGCTCACCTGGAGGAGTGAGGGTCTCATTTCCAAGGGCACTGGGAACTGCAGCCTGGGGGTGGGGGGTTCATTTGGTTTCAGACCTGTGGCGAAGAGACCCACCCCCTCACATTCACACTTTGGCCTCCAGTGGCTTCACAGGCACCACCCCCTTGTTCTGGCGTTTTACTCCTCACCTTGGGCTGTTTCTTGCCTTTCCATTCTGGCGTTCTGCAGGGACCAGTTCCTTCCTCTCATGCACAATCTACACTCATGGCTTTTGCTGGGAGTAATGAGTAAAGCTCCCAAATAGATGTTTCTGAGTTAGCAAGCACATTAAAACCAAAAAAAAAACGAAGCCAAAACAACACACAATTGTCTAAGTCCCACTTTCAGTGTTCAAGGGTCACATGATGTCCAGAAGCTAGTGATGGGCAGGAGCTCTGAATGGAGTTACTGGGATGTCAGGCCGTGTGGGCCTGGGGCAGGCTGGCTGACTGGGAGCAGACTGGTTCCATCCCAGCTGTCCAGCACACACTCACTTGCCTCTGTGGATGATAGTTCCTTGCCTCACAGCTGTCTGTCTCTGGGTCAGATTCAGCCTCTCAGTGTCTTTTGTGTATCAGCTGAATGACAGGGAGGCCACAGGCTGGTGCCCAGTTGAAAATCTCACAGGGACTCTTTGTAAATGCATACAAGAATAAGAAAAGCATTTTCCTCCTCCTCCCTGAGCCCATTCTCTTCCTCAGATGGGACGATCAGGTCCTTACGGAAAGAATTGGAGTTCACTGCTCCCAGCGCGCTCGCTCTCTCTCTCTCTCTCTCTCTCTCTCTCTCTCTGTGTGTGTGTGTGTGTGTGTGTGTGTGTGAGAGAGAGAGAGAGAGAGAGAGAGAGAGAGAGAGAGCTCTGCAGGTGAGCCAGTTCTGTTGCTATTGCTGGTTTGAGCTGCTGCCATCACCACACTTAGCTAATTACCTTAATATTTGCTGGTCCCCAGTTGAAAATCTCACAAGAACTCTTTGTAAATGCATGCAAGAATAAGAACAGCATTTTCCTCCTCCTCCCTTAGTTTTTGGCTGGAGACTAACAGAAAATAAATTTTTCTCCAACTTGAAATACTTATGAACTTTGAGAAGAAAACAAAAAGTACGATTCCAAAATTGCCCTGTAGTAAGTAGGTCAGTAACATTCAGGGAGTGTCAAAACTGCATTTCTCTTTATTCTTCACTTCCAGGCCCTGCATCATGGAAACTCTTTCTAATGCAAGTGGTACCTTTGCCATACGCCTTTTAAAGATACTATGTCAAGACAACCCTACACGCAACGTGTTTTGTTCTCCTGTGAGCATCTCCTCTGCCCTGGCCATGGTTCTCCTAGGGGCAAAGGGAAACACCGCAACCCAGATGGCCCAGGTAAGCTTGCCTGTGTCCCAGGAGCAGGGACTGGCCTGGGCTGCGTGTTCTGTCACCAGCATCACACTCATACTCCACAGCCACTGAGAAAGGAGGGCAGGACTGGGGCCCGAGTATGCACTGGCCATTTCAGGGAGGCGGGGGTCCACTGGGGAAGAAGGGGGGCAGGGCAGGGAGGCAGGAACTCTGCTCCACCGAGATTTATTTGGGGGAAACTTTCCTCCGTTAATCCCTTGGAAAAGACCATCCAAGCTGTCTTGTCCTGGCACGGAATCTTTGTTTAGAAAATGATACTGAAATTATTTGAAACATAAGTTGCAAAGACCTACCTCTTTTTTGCCGCAAGAGACTGTAACCATCAACTTTCATTGGTAAGGAGGGTTAATACCTGTTTCAAGCTGTTTCTGTACCAACAGCTCAGGGAGGGCATTGACAGAAACTTGCCAGAAGGATTCCAGGGCAAGTGCTTAGTTACCGCTGCACACCGTGCAGGTACTGCTCAGCTTAGTCTCACCAATGCTCAGAGAACCTCTGAAAATGACTCAAGATCAGTGCTTGTCCCCAGACGTTTGTGGAAAGGAGAGGGGACATACACCTGAGATGAAACTGAAAGCTTGCACCATCCCTGACCACAGGCCCCTGGACACGCCTTCATCCTGGGAGTTGTCCTTTGTTCAATATGACTCTTTTTTTTTCCTTTGATGACACTTTTCAGTAGCGAATTACTCATTTTAATAATTTCCCAGCTCATTGTGTGAAGGAGGGAAGGTTTATGTATAAAGGCTACCAGCCTTAATAATAAGCACAGAGAAGCTCTCTAAAATATATACATTTGGAAAAAGGGCATTACAATGAAAATACGCATGCCATAGCAAGCTATGTGTGTATTCAGGGAGGTGAAATAACACTAAGATTTTTAAAGGAAAAAGTAAAGAGGATTATATAATCCCTTTGAAATAGTTATTTTTGGCAAAAAGATCAATAACGAAGGTGATGCCAGTGTGAGATTGGATGGGGAGTTCCTGGGTAGACATCCTTGTACAAGTATTTTGTTGTGTAAGGCTGTGATGGCCTTTGTGCAAGAGTGTAGTTTTTTACGGAGTCCTTTGTGATAGTTTTGTTATCAGGCATTCAAGCGTGAGAACCCTCTCTTCATGGCCTTCGCTGTCTCTGTCAAAGTTTTAGTTTTAGTTTTTGTTTTTAACATTAGTGACTCCATTTTGGTTCTGAGGTTCCTTATGCTTAAATCTTATGATCTTTTTCTATATTTTAGACTCACTGATAAACCCTTATAGGAAGCTTTTTTGAGAGCACCAAAATTGTTTGGGTACCGTCTTAGGTGTGACACGGAGCTCTCCATGGCTCCAGTGTTCACCTGGATACTCGTGAGACACCAGACATACTGAGTACACATTGCTACCTGTAACATGAAGGGAAGCATTAATAGCAGCAGAAATATTTTAAAGAATTATTTATTTTTCCTTCATTATATAACTGGTAAAAGTCCACTATAAAATTAAAAAAAAAAATAAAAGTAGAAGGGAGGAAAAAAAATCCTTATGGATCCATCACGCAGAGACAACCACCCTTGATAATGTAAAGCATCTTCCTCCACTCTTATTTCCCCATTTTCTTTTTCTTTCTTTCTTTTTTTTTTTTTAAGACAGAGTCTCACTCTGTCGCCCAGGCTGGAGTACAGTGGCACGATCTCTGCTCACTGCAAGCTCCGCCTCCCGGGTTCACACCATTCTCCTGCCTCAGCCTCCCGAGGAGCTGGGACTACAGGCGCCCGCCACCTCGCCTGGCTAATTTTTATTTTTAGAGACGGGGTTTCACCGTGTTAGCCAGGATGGTCTCGATCTCCTGACCTCGTGATCCGTCCGCCTCAGCCTCCCAACGTGCTGAGATTACAGGCGTGAGCCACCGTGCCTGATTCTATTTCCCCATTTTCACTTGACATTTTGTACTTTGGTGATTATATGGTATCTTTACTTTTATAACTGTTTTTTCAGCTTATGTGAGGATTCGGTGAGACAGGCCATGTAAAGCAAGTGCTCAACATGTGTTGGCTGTGAATAGTAATAGTGGTGTCACAGCCTTGGGTGAAATTTGTCTTAGCTTTTGGTTTTGTTCTATTTTTGACAGGGTTTCTTATCAATAGTCTATGAGCTGTCTAAAATAAATTTAGCAGCTTCCTCTTTTTTCTATGTTATAGGACAGTGTGTATTGCATGAGAAATAGAAATTGCTTGAATATTAGAAAAAAAATCCCTCAAAAGATCATCTAAGCCTTTTTAGAAGTAATTCTCGCTCTCTTTTTTTTTTGTTCATTCATTGTGCATTGTGACTGATTGATAGATTCTGTGGGGTTTTTTTTTTTTTTTGAGATGGAGTCTCGCTCTGTCACCCAGGCTGGAGTGCAGTGGTGCTATCTCAGCTCACTGCAACCTCCAACTCTGGAGTTCAAGTTCACGTGATTTTCCTGCCTCAGCCTCCCAAGTAGCTGGAATTACAGGCACACTTCACAATGCCTGGCTAATATTCATATTTTTGACTGGCGTTTGGTAACTTATAATCTGTACTTTACTGAAAATAATTATATAGCGTTTTTGTTTTAACATTCCCATTGTTTATATTGCTGTAACCTCTTTTTCACATACAACTTTCCTTTGGAGTGCTTTTTTTAATATGTGGTGGGTGGTTGTCTGTTATGTATGTATGTGTGTTTTCTTTTAAAGAACCAGCTCTTGGATTCATTGATCATTTTGTGTTTGTTCCAAAATTCCTTAGGAGTTTTTCTGTATCTTCTCTAACATAATGATGTAAAGTTTTAGCATTTTATTATTTTCTTGGTAATATTGAAAACAATGCTATGTTTTAACTTTCTTTGGCCGAACTCTTTGGTCTAATATATATCACCCATATTTTGATTATTTTCTAAATTATGTGTCGTATACTTATTTAGAAGAATATTGTTTGTTTGTTTTTTGAGGAAGAGTCTTGCTCTTTTGCCCAGGCTGGAGTGCAATAGTGTGATCTCGGCTCACTGCAACCTCTGCCTCCTGGGTTCAAGTGATTCTCCTGCCTCAGCCTCCCAAGTAGCTGGGATTACAGGCAAGCATCACCACACTTGGCTAATTTTTGTATTTTTAGTAGAGACAGGGTTTCGCCTAGTTGGCAAGGCTGGTCTTGAACTCCTGACCTCAAGTGATCTGCCCGCCTCGGCCTCCCAAAGTGCTGGGATTACAAGCATGAGCCACTGTGCCCAGCCTAGAAGAATATTTTAAATATTTGTTTAGAAGAGGGATTTTTTTTTTTTTTTGACATGATCTTGCTAGGCTGGAGTGTGGCAGCTTGATCACAGCTCACTGCAGCCTCAAAGTCCCGGGCTCCAGCAGTCCTCCCACCTCAGCCTTCCAAGTAGCTGGGACCACAGCACACACCATCATGCCCAGCTAATTGGAGATGGGATCTCGCAATGTTGCCCAGACTAGCCTCAAACTCTTGGACTCAAACAATCCTCCTGCTTTAGCCTCCCAAAGTGCTGGGATTACAGGCTTGAGCCACTGTGCCTGGCTTGGAAGAGTATTTTAATTGTTACTTTGAAGAGTTAATTATTTAGAAAAGTGTTTTCAGTAATATTTTGTATGTCATTTTCATTTTGTTGGCATTTTGTTTATAATGTTGATTATTTGTTACTACATTGAAGTTAGAGGATATAATCTATATAATTTCTGTATTTCAGAATGTATTGAGACTTTGAGACTTTTCTTATGGTCCAATATGTGTTATATTTTTTGAAATATTTAAGTAACACACATATAGTCACTATAGGGTACAATTTTAATAACTGTGTTATTGTCTTATTAATCACATTGCTCATTTAATATCCTTATTTCCTTTTGAGGATTCTGATGGTTGTATTTCTGTCTATGTTTCCTTGCATTTTTTCTGCTTTTAACTTTTTAACTGCATCTTTTTTGTTTTTCTATAAATTTTAGAGGTAATTTTCCCACCACTTAGGGCACATATATTTTCCTTTGGATGCCAGATTTTATCACACCCTCTTTTATGTGCTTTTCTCACCCTTGTCATTTTTTTTCTGTTACTCACCTTTAAACCAGCGAGATCCATTCAGGCAGGATGGCTACATCTTTTACTCGCCTGTTTTCTGTCCCCTCTCTCTCCTTTCCCCATCCACCAAAGAGCTATCTTGATAACTTTGAAATTATTTCTCACAACAGGCACTTTCTTTAAACACAGAGGAAGACATTCATCGAGGTTTCCAGTCGCTTCTCGCTGAAGTGAACAAGCCTGGCACACAGTACCTGCTGAGAACAGCCAACAGGCTCTTTGGAGAGAAAACGTGTCAATTTCTCTCAGTAAGTTGAATCAATAGAACAATAAAAGTTGTATTCAACATATCTGGTGATACAGAGTCTGGGAGAAAGACCCTAGAGAAACTGAGACGCTTACATTAACCAATTAAAAAAATTGTACTTTTTTTTTTTCTAAGATGGGGTCTCACTATGTTGCCCAGGCTGGTCTCAAACTCCTGGTCTCAAGTGATCCTCCTGCCTGCTGGGATTGCAGATGTGAGCCACCATGCCCAACCTAAACTTCCTTTCTTTCTTTCTTTATTTATTTTATTATTATTATTTTTTTTGGAGACGGAGTCTCGCTTTGTCGCCCAGGCTGGAGTGCGGTGGCCGGATCTCTGCTCACTGCAAGCTCCGCCTCCCGGGTTTATGCCATTCTCCTGCCTCAGCCTCCCGAGTAGCTGGGACTACAGGCGCTCGCCACCTCGCCCGGCTAGTTTTTTGTATTTTTTTTAGTAGAGACGGGGTTTCACCGTGTTAGCCAGGATGGTCTCGATCTCCTGACCTCGTGATCCGCCCGTCTCAGCCTCCCAAAGTGCTGGGATTACAGGCTTGAGCCACCGCGTCCGGCCACTTCCTTTCTTTAAAGACCACAATTCTATAATTACACCTTGCATTAGTATTCCAAAAGCTGTCTCTACTTTTCTTGAAAGGTAAAATTGAAAGGTAAAATTCTCAAGTTCATTTCTGGTTATTCAGGGTCCAATGCATACCTATTCACAAACTCTGATAATTTAACATATCTTAATATGATCACTTTTAAAGAGTTGTGTGTATTCTTTTTATTAAAAAGAGATAACATATTTAGAATTTTTGGAAGTTTGTTGACATTTGTATTTAGCAATGCAGGCTCACTGAACGTTTTCTCTCCAAAGACGTTTAAGGAATCCTGTCTTCAATTCTACCATGCTGAGCTGGAGGAGCTTTCCTTTATCAAAGCTGCAGAAGAGTCCAGGGAACACATCAACACTTGGGTCTCAAAGAAGACGGAAGGTCAGAATGACAAGTTATTCCACCCTCCTCCCAACCCCTCCTCCTGCAGCTCTTCCTATTCCTCCTCCCCTCCTCTTACATCCTCCCTCCTCCTCCTCTCCCTCCTATCCCTCCTTTTGTCTCTCCTCACCCACCTCCACCTCTCCACTCCGGCCCCTCTAATTTCACGGGTGTTTCAGATGGTCAGAGTAGTGTTGACTGGCAGGGCCTCCTGGCATACTGAACCTTGATGGACTCATAAAGGTTCTGATCAGACATTCAGGTTTTCAACAACAGAGATTTACTTTTTTCTATTCTTCCAGGACCAGAGTAGCTGATACAAATGTCCAAAGAGGGCCAGGGATGGTGGCTCTCGCCTGTAATCCCAGAAATTTAGGAGGCCAAGGTGGGCATATCACTTCAGGTCAGGAGTTCAAGACCAGCCTGGCCAACATGGTGAGACCCTCATCTCTACAAAAATACAAAAATTAGCCAGGCGTGGTGGCCCATGCCTGTAATCCCAGCTACTTGGGAGGCTGAGACATGAGAATCACTTGAACCTGGGAGGCAGAAGTTGTAGTGAGCTGAGATCACGCCACTGCGCTCCAGCCTGTCTCAAAACCAAAAAACAAACAAAAAACAAATGTCAAAAGAATCTCAGGCCAGGTTTCCAGTTTAATAACTTACATTAAAATATACTCTCCCTGGCCTGTGACATTCACATGTCAGGTGACTCCATTGTCTCTGTGAGAAGGAGATTGATGGACAGACCTTGCCTGAGGTATACACTTGGGCTGCCTCTTCCTAGGTTCTGGGGGACCTCCATCACCATCACCTTTACCTGCTAAGGTCACTTCTGACTTTTCATGTCTTCCACTTAAGCTCCTTTAGTTTGTCTTGCTAAGCCTACATTTGGTTGGTTAACTGCAGACCCTCTCTCAGGGCTGATCAGTTCCACAGACTGAAAATATCCTCCATTTGGGGTTGCACCTTATTCATCCACATTTCAGAAAGTGACATGTTCCAGTCTTGGCCTCCAAGACCAATGATGGTCTGATGAACGATGCAGACTCCTCTGCACCAATGATGCTTAATACCACTAGGAACATTTCTATTTCTGTGAATAAATGAGACGGTAAAGACTGGGAGATGTTCTTCACTTAAAGTCTCAGCAATTGTTCCCCCATTCCTGCTTGGAGTATTTGCCACGGATGCTCTCTTGAGGCAGCGAATTAGCAGAAGTTCATTGAAAAAGTACCACTTGATCTCCAGGGAAAGAAGGGGGGATCTTTGCTTGCCCACATTCTCTTTTCCAGAGACGTCTGGTGCTTTGTTGAGGGGATTCAGCAGGAAGATCTCCTCCAAAAGCTTCTAGAAACTCCCCATGTGCCCAATGTCAGCTCTTCCCGCTTTGAGCCATCCAGTTTAGAACTGGGTGTGATCACGAAGGGTTGGGTCAAACACTCCATTTAACCACGTGAGACAAACACCCCTTCAGCCTATCACATTTCCTGCTGGTCTTGTTCTCCAACCTGGTGTAATTTTTCTACTTTCTACCAACCTGCTTTCCTCGAGTGACTTAGGTGTCTTTCACCATCCTCAACTTGGTGGATGTTCTCAAGGCGTCGGTAATCGTGAATGCCACTCACACGTGCTGTTTTTATTTCTGTACGTAACAACCCACACTCAGCAAATTTGAAAACAGAAGTTTGCTTCTCAACTGGTCACCCAGGATCATCGAATACATCAGGTTCTTACAAAAACAACTGAATGTAGTCTCTACTTTTCTTGAAAGGTAAAATTGAAGAGTTGCTGCCGGGCAGCTCCATTGATGCGGAAACCAGACTGGTTCTTGTCAATGCCGTCTACTTCAAAGGGAAGTGGGATGAACAGTTTGACGAAACGTACACAAGGGAAATGCCTTTTAAAATAAAGCAGGTAGGGGGACGCTTTTTAACATCCTGCTACTTTGATGAAGAAGTTGAATGGAAAGATTTAACTTTGTAAAATCATAAGTGACGTAAGTGTAAGCCAAAAGGAATTTGAAACTTAAAGTATTTCTGAATGAATTTATTAACTCAGTAGAAGAAAACTGAAGGAATAAAAGATATTTGCTGCATATATATATATATATAAAAAATATATATGTAGTGTTTTATTACTGCTCTTAACTACCTTTGATAATTTCTTATAAACCATTGCTGCCACCTATTTTTGGAAACTAAAGATCTTCCTTTAAGCCCAATTTACTTGGCTAGAAAGCAAAAAAAAAAAAAAAGGTGTTAAGGTGGTGTGATATGTGGGAGTGGGAGTGAGGGGCAGTATAGGGCAGGGTAGAAGGAGAGAAGGTGAAAACATATGTCTTTAGTTATTTTTAAAATTAAAGTAAGTTTTGATTTGAATTGTTAACTATCATTAATTCAGTATTTCCAGCTTTTTAATATTAAAACTTCATGACAAAGACCTTAGTTTTGACATTGAAGTAAAACTTAATTAAGGCAGGCATTAGAATAATTTTCCATAATCCTCCAGCCCCTAAAAAGATACCATTTTAATGCAATTAGAAAACGAAAGCAGGTAACCCTCCCGCATTTTTTGTAAGGTGTACTTGAACTTGAAAAAAATTAGTTCTCTAGTTGCAAAGGGTGGGAGGAGGAGAATTCTTCTAACCTTGGTTTTAGAATGATTTTAATTTTTATAATAGATGACCTGTATCAATTTTTAAAAGTGAATTTAGTAAATGTAATACTTTGCTGAACTTCTGTGTGCATATGCCTCTTCTGTATTTTAAAAAAGTTATTTCCTTAGAGTATCATAATTGAAAAGGTTGGGTTAAAATAGATTACTATATACGTAGGTCGCAGGTCATCACTCTTTCTGAGAGAGTGTACCCATTTATACTCCCTGTCATGCTGTTGTGGAACTATAAGTTTGATCCCACTTTATGATTTTTTTTCTCATATGTTGGGTTGGATAAATAGGAAAAACAATACACATTTTTTTCTAATTAAATCAAAACAACTTTGTATTTAATTTCATTTGATTATATTGTTTTCTTAGATCTATTTGCTGAGCACAAATTAATGAGAAAAATATTTCTCCTCTGGAAAATGCAGAGTATCACATTTTATTTTGCAGAATAAAAGCTTTCCCAGGGTAGTACTGTGCTTGCAGTGATGATAGGAAGGAACTGGTTGCCTTTTTTTGTGTGTGTGTGTGTGTTAATTGAGGCATGAATGTGGCGGTTTCCATCACAGGTGCTGGAAACACTATCGGAGGCAACTGCAGCTCTTTTGAAACTTTTAATTGCCTCTTTTAATAATCCTTCCCCCAGGAGGAGCAAAGGCCAGTGCAGATGATGTATCAGGAGGCCACGTTTAAGCTCGCCCACGTGGGCGAGGTGCGCGCGCAGCTGCTGGAGCTGCCCTACGCCGGGGAGGAGCTGAGCCTGCTCGTGCTGCTGCCTGACGACGGCGTGGAGCTCAGCACGGTAAGACCCGGGCGGGAATAACCCAGGGACGCCTTTGCGGGCAGAACTCGAACGCCACTTGCACCTCTTGTATTTACCTTCCGAGTTGGCCATGTGGCAGACGCACACTGTGCAGGCACTTGGCGTTGGGTTCAAACTTTTGTTCAAGGCTGACTTTTCCCAATATTGTCTGCGTGATCTGCCAAATTACACATCTCAGTCCTCTGTGTTTTCATCGCTAGAAGGGGTAGGGGCGGTTAAAATGCCTTTTAAAATAAATCCGGTAGGAGGAAACTTATAAAAATCCTGCTAGTTTGATGAATGGCAGACTTTTAACTGTAAAAGCATAAATGACAGCTTAGGGTTATTGCCCGGTAGGGTCATGATGAGGATAAACTGTGGCTAATTCAGGTAACAAGCTTACCACCTTGCCTGGCAAATAGTAAACTCTCTACAAATGTGATCCGTTATTATAATCATCATTCTTAGCATTATGCTTTGAAAGTCTAAGAACCTGAAATAGAGAATGAGGAAGTCTTAACTTTCACCTAACGAGGCTGGGAGAGGGGATCGTGGCATCCGGGGAGGTGTGAAGTCCAGTGCTCGGAGTGTGGGACCAGAGACAGCCTCTGATGGCACATCCAGGCACTCGGCTTCCTTTCAGCATGGATCCCTGCGGTGAGAGAGTCACCCATGGCAAATGGCAGGCAGTGGAACCCCATGACTTAAGAGGTCTGTGTGTGCCGCAGCCATTGGCTCTGCCTCTGCCCACCTGCCTGACTGTAACCGCTCTGCTCAGGAAACTATGCAGAATCTCATCTGGGGCGGATAATCCTGTTGGAGTGGCTCACACTGAGAACCCTTTCGTTTCCAATCCTTTTCTTTACTAGCAATGGTTTGTTGTCTTTAAAAAGACTTATGTTTGAAAAGCAAACATAGTCGCCTGGGCATTGACGCTTGTCACAATACAAGGTGTCTCTGGAGTTGCTGGGTAAGGAGAGGACAGCCACAGCCTTCCTGCCTCTGGCTGCTTGGTGTCTCTCCCCCTTGTCAAGGAAGTGGCGCATGGGATGGCACATGGGACATAGGACAAGTAGGAGTGCTCACACGCTTCTGGCAGATGAAGGGGCCAGTGATCCTATGTGAACAAACAACACCTACGTGCAAGAGGAGGAAGGGGACTGTGTGAGTGCCTGTGGGCTTGTAGATGTGCACTGAAGTCGGAATCTTAAAGTCTATTTCTGGTATTTCAGGTGGAAAAAAATCTCACTTTTGAGAAACTCACAGCCTGGACCAAGCCAGACTGTATGAAGAGTACCGAGGTTGAAGTTCTCCTTCCAAAATTTAAACTGCAAGAGGATTATGACATGGAATCTGTGCTTCGGCGTTTGGGAATGGTCGATGCCTTCCAACAGGGCAAGGCTGACTTGTCGGCAATGTCAGCGGAGGGAGACCTGTGTCTGTCCAAGTTCGTGCACAAGAGTTTTGTGGAGGTTAATGAAGAAGGCACCGAGGCAGCAGCAGCCTCAGGCTGCATTGTGATTGCAGAGTGCTGCATGGAATCTGGCCCGAGGTTCTGTGCTGACCACCCTTTCCTTTTCTTCATCAGGCACAACAGAGCCAACAGCCTTCTGTTCTGTGGCAGGTTCTCATCTCCATAAAGGGTGCACTTACTCTGCACTCAGCCATTTCCCTCTTGCTGTGTCCCCAGATCCCCACTACAACTCCAAGAGGATGGGCCTAGAAAGCCAAGTGCAAAGATGAGGGCAGATTCCTTAGCTGTCTGCCCTCATGATTTGCCAGCATAAGTTCGTGATGCTTTACACTCAGCTCTTACATACTGACCACTCATTTATCCTACTTAATCAGAATCTTGAGAAAATAGACCATAATGATTCCCTGTTGTATTAAAATTGCAGCCCAAATGCCATAGGATGGCAAGCAAAGTTCTTCTAGAATTCCACAAGCAATTCACTCTGGAGACCCCGTGCTTTCCTGAGACCTCAAATACATGCCTTAACCCACTGCCTCAGTGGTAATAAATGCTGCTAGATATTGCTACTAGTTTATAGATTTCCTGGTGCTTAGTCTTTTAAAAAAGGTTTTAAAGTGCACACGTATATTTTGTCTTCTTTTTTTCTTTTTGACATCTACCAATAACCAACCACGCACCAAACACTGCATTTGGCACTGGGGATGCAAAAGGGACAGAGCTATCCTCCTTTTACACCTGGTCTTCAATTCTGTGCCCAACTTACACAGCTTTGACGATGACCAGGTTGGACTCTTTAATGTCTTTCAAGGTATGATGTAATCCTCTTGTAGGGATCACATCTTTCTTTATGATACTGTATTTCTCTACCTCTAAGTCTTAACAGTAAAAACCCCATTCAACACTTAAAGCTCATTTCAAATTCTTCTTTGAGAAGTTTTTCCTTTCTCCACAACCAGATGTACAAATTTTTCACTCAGAGGGCACTTTTTTTTTTTTTTTTTGAGACGGAGTCTCGCTTTGTCTCCCAGGCTGGAGTGCAGCCGTGCGATCTCGGCTCACTGCAAGCTCTGCCTCCGGGGTTCACCCCATTCTCCTGCCTCAGCCTCCTGAGTAGCTGGGACTACAGGCGCCGCCACCACGCCCAGCTGATTTTTTGTATTTTTAGTAGAGACAGGGTTTCACCGTGTTCGCCAGGATGGCGGGCACTTCTTTCTTGGTAGTTCTTTTATTTTTATTAATCTCTGTATCCTTAGATAGTCCTCCAACAACCAAGGGTTGGGACCCTGTCTTACATATTTGGGTGCCCCTCATAGTGCAGTAATAAGTAAGTGGGTTATATATGAGCTGTGTAACTTATTTTTTATTTTTATTTTTTGAGACAGAGTCTCGCTCTGTCGCCCAGGCTGTAGTTCAGTGGCCGGATCTCGGCTCACTGCAAACTCCGCCTCCCGGGTTCAGGCCATTCTCCTGCCTCAGCCTCCCGAGTAGCTGGGACCACAGGTGCCTGCCACCATGCCTGGGTAATTTTTTGTGTGTTTTTAGTAGAGACGGGGTTTCACCATGTTGGCCAGAATGGTCTCGGTCTCCTGACCTCGTGATCCGCCCGTCTCGGCCTCCCAAAGTGCTGGGATTACAAGCGTGAGCCACCGCGCCTGGCCTGTAACTTATTTTTTTAATGGCTGGATATCACTTGAGTTTATTGTTTTTTAAGAATTTTTTTATTGAGGTAAAATTCACATAACATAAAATTAACTATTTTAAAGTGAGAAGTTCCGTGCTGTTTAGTATTGTTAACAACGTTGTGTAACCACCACCTTTATTTAAAGTTCCAAAAAAATTTTTCTCCTCTAAAAGGAAACCCCATCCCATTAAGCAGATAACGCTCCATTTCTTCTTCCCTCCAGCCCCTGGCAACCACCAATCTGCTTTCTGTCTCTATGGATTTATCTGTTCTTCATATTTCATATAAATTGAATTGTTTGAGACCTTTTGTGTCTGGCTTCTTTCACATAGCACGAGTTTCTGAGATTTATTTACATAAGAGCATGTATCAACACTTCATTTTTATGGCCAAATAATATTGTACTATGTGTTTATAGCACAATTTATGTGTCCACTCATTCACTGATGGACGTTGTGTAGTTTCCTATTTTTGGCTATTGGGAATAGTGCTGCTGTGAATGTTTGTGTACCTGTGTTTGTTTGAGTGCCTATTTTGCATTCTCTTGGGTATACGTCTAGGAGTGGAACGGCTGGGTCATATGGTAATTCTATGTTTAGCTTTTTAAGGAACAGACAAACTGCTTTCCACAGCAGTTGAACCATTCTGCATTCCCACTAGCAATGGGAATGTACTTACTATTTTCCTTTTCCTTTTAAAAAAAAATATGTTATAGCCATCTTAGTGGATGTGAAGTGGTATCTCATTGTGTTTTTTATTTGCATTTCTTATGTAATGAGCTAGAAAGTAAAGTACAAACTAGATGGGACATCCAGTCCCTTTGATAGATAATGCTGAGTAAAAAATGAGATGAAAGATGTTTGTTTGTTTGTTTGTTTTAGACCAGGGGTGAAAGTTTATTAAAACTTTAGAGGAGGAGGAATGGAAAGAAAGTGAAGTACACTTGGAAAAGGGCCAAGTGGCCAAGTGGACATCTTGGAGGTCAAGTGCCTGGTTCAGTTATTTTATTTTATTTTTTTTGAGACAGGGTCTCACTCTGTTACCCAGGCTGGAGTGTAGTGGCATGATCTGGGCTCACTGCAATCTCCTTCTCCTGGATTCAAGCAATTCTCTTGCCTCAGCCTCCCAAGTAGCTGGTATTACAGGTGCCTGCCACCATACCCGGCTAATTTTGTATTTTTCAGTAGAGACGGGGTTTCACCACGTTGGCCATGTTGGTCTTGAACTCTGGGCCTCAAACAATCTGCCTACCTCGGCCTCCCAAAGTGCTAGGATTACAGGCATGAGCCACTGAGCCTAGCCCTAGCTCAGTATCTTTTGATATTATGCATATGATACATAATATGATACATATCATACATAGTATGATATTATGTATCATATGGGGATACTTACTGCATTTCTTTCATTAGTGGTGAAAGTGTTTTATGCATTTATTGGCTCTTGAATTTCCTCCTCTATTAATTGTCATTCACACACCTACTTTTCTACTCGGTTTTTACATATCTTTTTGCCTAGTAAAGATATTATCCCTCCGTCTTATATTTTTTCTCATTCTTGTATTGCCTTTTAAATTTTGTTACGATGTTTCATTAATAAACAGCATTTTGTTTTCCTCTATAATCAAATCTAGATTTTTCCCTTTGTGATTTCTGACACCACTTCCATTCTTACAAGTACTTTTCCATTCATAAACTAGTTAAATAAAAGTTATTTTTTCCTCTAAACTTTTATTTTTGTAATGATTTAATTCACATGGAATTTGATTTTGTGTTATTGACATTCAGGAGAAAGCATAATTTCATTTATTTCTTAATAGCCAATTTCTGGATATTATTTGTAAATCTATTTTTCCCTAGTGTTCATTCCTATTTTTCCATCTTTATTTTTCTAAGTGAACTTTAGAATAATTTTTTAATACCCCAAGTAATTTTTTAACTTGTTGAGAGTTTTTTGGGGGGAAGGGTTAGCATGACATTAAGCATATAAATTACTTGGGTAAATTGATGTATTTACAATGTTTAGTCATCTCATTAAGGAAAATGAGAAGAGTCTCCATTTATTCAAGCCCTTTTGTTATACTACTTTTATTAAGACCTTTTTTTTTTGAGTTTTTTTCAATATAAATCCTACACATCTTTTTTTTTTTTTCTTGTTATGGTTATCTCTAAATTTTAGTAACAATTTTAAACAATAGCATTTCCCCCGACCTGATTATGGATGGCATATAAGTAAACCATTGACGTTTATACATTTATCTTGTGCATGACCAATTTGGTATATTCTTTTGGTAATTTAAGAATTTTCAGTAAATCATCTTGGAGTTTCTGCTATATGATTTTGCAATAGGCAAATGATCTTTACTATGTATGTAATGGTATATGCAAATAAGAAAGAGGACATCCTTCTAACTGATACACCTCTAGTGTCTGTTTTTTGTTTATTGTTTTGTGTTCTTCTGTTTTGCATTACCTAGCCATTATGAGACAACATACAATGGTTTGGATGTTTGTACCCCCACATTTCGTGTTGAGACATGATCCCCAATGTTGGAGATGGGGTCTAATGGGAAGTATTTGGATCATGGGGGCAGATCCTTCATGAATGGTTTGGTGCCATCTTCGAGGTAATGAGTGACTTCTGGCTTTATTTGTTCCCCTGAGAACAAAAAACCTGACCCCTGCCCTCTGTCTCTTGCTTTTGATCTATTGCCTTGTGATCTCTGCACATGGCAGTTCCCCTTCACCTTTTGCCATCAGTGGAAGCAGCCTGAGGCCTCACCAGAAGCAGATACTGGTGCCATGCTTTTTGTACAGTGTGCAGAACTGTGAGCCAGTGAATTACCCAGCCTTGTGTGTGTGTGTGTGTGTGTGTTTTATAGCAACACAAATGAACCAAGACACAGAGTGCACAATCATGACAGAAATTCTTGTTCTGCTCTGTTTTAATTTAGAGATTGATAATATCCAGTGTTGGTGAGCATATGAGAAAACAGGCATCCTTACCTTGTGTGTGGGAATGTGGATTAAGGGTTTTTGAAAGGAAGTGGGCAGCCTTTCCATTTTAAATGGACATTCTTTTTGGGCCAGCATTTCACTTTTAGATGTCTGATCTACATAAGTATTTGCATACATGCTTAGATATGTTGAGGTTTTCTCTGTAGTATTTTTAAAGGCATTTTTGTAGGATTATTTAAAAAATTGTGGTAAAGAAAAACAAAATTTACCATCTTAACCATTTCTAAGCATACAGTTAGCATTATTTTTGAATAGCAAAAAAGGAAAGAAAAAGAAAAAGAAAAGAAGGAAAGAAGGCAGAGAGGGAGGGAGGGAAAAAACAAAGAAAATGAAGTGGAATTAATTCAATTTTAATTTTTCCTTCAATAGGAGAATAATTTAATTGTAGTATGAACTATGCAGAATTTAAAAAATCACAATAGGTTCAAATGCACTTATTGTAAAAGACCATGAAAAATTAAGTGAAAAATGTAACTTGCAATGCAATGTGTATAATATGATCTCATTTATATGAATGAAACCCTGTATATGTACATTCATATATGTGAATCTATGGGAAGAGGTTTAAAAGGTGACACTTTTCACTGCTAACAGAGGTTGTCTCTGAGATAGGTTTGGGGAAGGAGATATGGGAAAAAACCTTCCATTTTTTGCCTTCTATATTTCTGTAATATTTAAAATTTTAACAAGGAAAATCTAATTCTGTAGTCTGCACATAATCTAAAGAAAGAAGAACTCCATTATACAACCACATGTCTAATACTAAGTGACATGGTATTGAAATTGAAATAAAATCCATATAAATGGGTTTTGAAAATATCTTTTTATCCTTGGTTTTTATAAGAGTTTTTAATGAGAATGGCAATTGAACATTGACTTCCTCTTTTCATGAGTAAAGTCTATTTCTGCTTTTCTTTTGTTTAAGAGCTGTTTTTATTTCCTGTTCTGTGAACTGACTTCATATACTTTGCCCATATTTTTCTTTGGGAGTGTAGGTCTACTATGCATGAATGAGTAGAAGCATTTTATGTATTCAAGGAATTAAGCCGAGCACAGGGGCACGTACCTGTAGTCCCAGCTGCTCGGGAGGCCGGGGCAGAAGGACGGCTTAAGCCCAGGAGGCTGTAGTGTACTGTGATTGTGCTTGTTAATAGCCAATGCACTTCAGCCTGGGCAATGTAGTGAGGCCCCCATCTCTTAAAAAAAAAAGGTAAGAAAGAGATTAGCCTTTTGTCTGTGAAATGAGTCATAAATATATGCATATATTGTTATTTGTATTTTATCTTGTTTACAGTGTTTTCACCATGTGAAATTAAAAAGAAGAGCTTTTATGTAGTCAAATGTATGAATCTTCTAGCTTCCAGGCTGTGTGATTGCTTACTTCTTACTCAGCCAACTCCAATCTGGTTTGTGCTCCACCACGACACTAAACAAATGGTCACCAACACCCTCCTTCTTCCTAAGTTCAATAGAAACCTGATTTTTCGGCAGTATTTGACCCTTTTGGAGACTTCTTCCCTAAGAAATACTTTTTGTTTTGGGTCCTGATCTTCCTTCTACCTTCCTGGCCTCTCTTGCTCAGTCTCATTGTCCTACCCTTTCCCTGGCCCATGCTGTAAATATTGCTATCCCTTGTGGGGCTGGCCTGAGTCTTCTTTCATCCACTTTCTCCAAAATTGGTCTGGCCCTCATCCATGGCCTGACTGCCAGCCCAGAGCTCAGATCTCTCTCCTGAGCTGCAGACCCAAATCTCTACTTGCTCATCCCACCCTTCCATTTGGACACACAACAAGTATCTCTATCTCAGTGTATCCAAAGCCAAGATTATTACCCACCTTCCCAACACACCTTCTTTAATTTTTCAGCTCTAGGACTGGATGCACCAGAGCAGGAATCGAGTTCACTTTATCAGCTCTGCATACTGGACACCTCACCCACTGTCTTCTGCTCCTTATGAATTATCAGTTGCATTAAACTGAAAGGCAAGACAATCCGTGCAGTTACCCAAGCTGGACTATAGGACACCTTCTTTCCCCTGTCACTCTGTCACGCAAATTTAAATAGCACCTTTTGAGACTGCCTATAGGTTGCCTATAGCAATCACTCAGTTGATTCCTACACATGTATTCTCACTTGTCTTCCTTCCTCTTCTTGCCTCCTCCAACCCATTCTCCACATTCCTTGCAGAGAAGTCTTTCCTGAAAGTAAATCTAGGTAATCCTAGCTGCTGCAACATAAACCTGCGGTCTCAATAGTGTAACACAATAGAAATCTATTTCTTGCTCACATAAAATAAAAAATGATTGTTTCAGGTGGTGATTCAGAGACCTAAGATCCACAAGCATTCACCAATGCCTTCTAAGGATGCTGCAGAAGAAGAAAGAGTGTGGAGGGCCATGCCTGGTGTTGGCCCACATCACACCTACCTGCAGGCCACTGGTGAGAACTCAGTTTCAGGTCCACACCTGATTTCAAGGAGCCTAGAACATGTGGTCCAGTGCCTGCCCAGGGAGAGAACCTGGGTCTTACGACGAGCCTTGGTAGTTTCCCATTGCTTTGAGGATAAAGATCACACTCTTTTATAGGAGATAACAAGGCGGCTCCTGATTTAACTGGCTCTCCTCTCCCACCTTTGCCACTTCTCCACTGCAGCCCTCCACTCCAACCTCACTGAACTATTTGGAGTTTCCTGATGATTCCATACTCTCTCTCACCTCTGGGCTTTGCATTTTCCAACTTCTACCTGGAAACCCCTTCCTTTCCACTCTTTCCCCTCCACCAGTCTCCAGTCCCGCACCCCATATCACTGGCTAACCCTCACATGATCGTGAACTTGAGGGCAGTTTTCCCATAGCTGTACCCTCCACACCTAGCACCAGGATAAGTGGCATCACTTACGAGGCCCAAAATGCAAATGACAGGCCCATTGTTAGAATTTTAGGACACCAACAGCAGCGCATCAACTCCAGGGTGAGCCCTCCTGAGGGTGAGGTCTTTGGGAACTACACAGATCACAGGCTTCTGAAGCCAGCTCTGCCTACGAAAGGCTAATCACACAAGCCAAACATCCACTGTGGCTTTTGTCATTGACCTAAGGTTTGAGATAACATCCAACTTTCTAATTCTTGGCTGGAAAGAGAAAGAGAGGCCACATTTTTTTCTGAATAGTGTTGCAACAGGTTTTGTTTATTTGTTTTATTTTTCCATAAGTTGTCGGGAGTACAGGTGGTATTTGGTTACATAAGTAAGTTCTTTAGCAGTGATTTGTAAGATTTTAGTGCACCCATCACCCTGAGCAGTATACACTGCACCATATTTGTAGTCTTTTATCCCGCGTCCCCCTCCCACTCTTCCCCCTCAAGTCCCCAAAGTCCATTGTATCATTCTTATGCCTTTGCATCCTCATAGCTTAGCTTCCACATATCAGTGAGAACATATGATGTTTGGTTTTCCATTCCTGAGTTACTTCACTTAGAATAATTGTCTCCAATCTCATCCAGGTCACTGCAAATGCTGTTAATTCATTCCTTTTTATGACTAGTAGTCCATCATATATACGTATATATACACATATACATATATACACACATACATATATACATGTGTACACACATGTATATATGTGTGTGTGTATATATATACGTGTGTATACATATATATATATATCACAGTTTCTTTATCCATTCGTTGACTGATGGGCATTTAGGTTGGTTCCAGGATTTTGCAATTGTGAATTGTGCTGCTATAAACATGCCTGTGCAAGTATCTTTTTCGAATAATGACTTCTTTTCCTCTGGGTAGAGGGAATCCCACTACCCAGTAGTGGGATTGCGGAATCAAATGATAGCTCTACCTTAAGTTCTTTAAGGAATCTCTACACTGTTTTCCATAGTGGTTGTACTAGTTTACGTTCCCATCAGCAGTTTAGAAGTATTCCCTGATCACTGCATCCATGTCAACATCTAATGTTTTTTGATTTTTTGATTATGGCCATTCTTGGAGGAATAAGGTGGTATTGCATTGTGGTTTTGATTTGCATTTCCCTGATCATTAGTGATGTTGAGCATTTTTTCTTTCATTCATTGTTTTTTTTCTTGAGATGGAGTTTCACTCTGTCACCCAGACTGGAGTGCAGTGGCACAATCTCCGCTCACTGCAACCTCTGTCTCCCAGGTTCAAATGATTCTCCTGCCTCAGCCTCCCGAATAGCTGGGATTACAAGCACATGCCACCACACCCGGCTAATTTTTGTATTTTTAATAGAGACGGGGTTTCACCATGTTGGTCAAGCTGGTCTTGAACTCCTGACCTGGTGATCTGCCTGCCTCGCCCTCCCAAAGTGCTGGGATTACAGGTGTGAGCCACCACGCCCAGCCTTGAGAATTGTCTATTCATGCCAGCCCAATTTTTGATGGGACTGTTTCTTTTTTTCTTGCTTATTTGTTTGAGTTTCTTGTAGATTCTGGACATTAGTCCGTTATCAGAGGTATAGATTGTGAAGATTTTCTCCCATTCTGTGTGTTGTCTGTTTACTCTGCTGACTGTTCCTTTTACTGTGCAAAAACTCTAGTTTAATTAGGCCCCAGCTATTTATGTTTGCTTTCATTGCATTTGCTTCCAGGTTCTTGGTCATGAAATCCTTGTGTAAGCCAACGTGTGGAAGGATTTTTCCAATGTCATCTTCTAGAATTTTTATAGTTTCAGGTCTTAGGTTTAAGTCCTTAATCCATCTTGAGTTGATTTTTGTATAAGGTAAGAGATGAGAATCCAGTTTCATTCTCCTACATGTGGCTAGCCAATTATCCCAGTGCCATTTGTTGAAAAGGGTATCCTTTCCCCCACTTTATGTTTTTGCTTGCTTTGTTGAATATCAGTTGGCTGTAAGTATTTGAGTTTATTTCTGGATTTTCTATTCTGTTCCATTGGTCTATGTGCCTATTTTTATACCAGTACCATGCTGTTTTGGTGACTACAGCCTTACAGTAGAGTTTGAAATCAGGTAATGTGATGCCTCCAGATTTGTTCTTTTTGCTTAGTCTTGCTTTGACTATGTGGGCTCTTTTTTTGGTTCCATATGGATTTTAGAATTGTTTTTTCTAACTCTGTGAAGAATGATGGTGGTATTTTGATGGGGATTACATTGAATTTGTAGATTGCTTTCGACAGTATGGTCATTTTCACAATATTGATTCTACCCATCCATGAGTATGGGATGTGTTTCCATTTGTTTGTGTCATCTGTGATTTCTTTCAGCAGTGTTTTTTTAATTTATTTTTTATTTCTTAGTTTTCCTTGTAGAGGTCTTTCAACTCCTTTGTTAGGTATATTCCCATTTTTTTTTTTTTAAGCTATTGTAAAAGGGGTTGAGTTCTTGATTTGATTCTCTGCTTTGTCGCTGTTGGTGTATAGAAGAGCTACTGACTTGTGTACATTAATCACATATCAGGAAATACTTTTGAATTATTTTATCAGTTCTAGGAGTTTTCGGGAGGAATCCTTCAGGTTTTCAAGGTAAACGATCATATTGTCAGCAAACAGTGACAGTTTCACTTCTTCTTTTTGATTTGATTTGATTCTCTGCTTTGTCGCTGTTGGTGTATAGAAGAGCTACTGATTTGTTTACATTAATCTCATATCTGGAAACACTGCTGAATTATTTTATCAATTCTAGGAGCTTTCTGGAGGAATCCTTAGGGTTTTCAAGGTAAACAATCATATCATCAGCAAACAGTGAGTTTGACTTCCTCTTTACCGATTTGGATTTCCTTTATTTCTTTCTCTTGTCTGATTGCTCTGGCTAGGACTGCCAGTACTATGTT